ACAAGGACATAGAACGCTTTATTCCTGCCCTCATCAAGGCTCTAATCAACCCCGTCGAGGAGGTGCCTAATACCATCACGCTCCTCTCGGCGACTACATTCGTTTCGGAAGTAGACTCCCCGACCCTCTCGCTCATGGTTCCTCTCCTGTCCCGTGGTCTCTCTGAGAAGCTCACTGCGACGAAGCGTAAGGTCGCTGTCATCATCGACAACATGGCGAAGCTCGTCGACTCTCCCGTCACCGTTCGCCCCTTCATTCCCAAGCTCCTGCCCGGCCTGATCAAGGTCGAGTCCGCTATGGGCGACCCCGAGGCCCGCAGCGTTGTTGCGCGTGCGATTGCCACCCTCCGTCAAGTCGGTGAGGTTCCCCACGGCGACGGTTCTGACCTTCCGCCCCTCAAGAAGGCGGACGAGAAGCACCTCGCGCACTCGCTTATCGGCCTTTACAAGAAGGCTGGTGCCAACCCCGTCCCCTCGGTTGCTGACGTCGCGACGATCTACGCCGCTTTGCTCGCCGCGAACATGGTGAACGACAAGAACTTCGATGTCTCGGAGTGGCAGACGCTCATCCCCTTCCTGACGTTCCTCACTACTTCCCCCGACCCCAACTCTATTGTCAACGAGTGGGCGGTCAAGTCGGCCACTGCTGACGAGGACACCGATGATGTTCCCGAGGACGAGGAAGAGGGCGAGGACCTGTGCAACTGCCAGTTCTCGCTTGCCTACGGTGCAAAGATCCTGCTCAACACTGCGTCCCTCCGTCTCAAGCGTGGCCACCGCTACGGTCTCTGCGGCCGGAACGGTACCGGAAAGTCTACCCTCATGCGTGCGATCACCAACGGGTACGTCACCTTGTTAATTTTTTTCGTCGTTCATGCCGCTTATTCATATTCCGCAGTCAAGTTGAGGGCTTCCCGTCCCCCGATGAGGTCCGCACGTTCTACGTCGAGCACGACATCGACGGCAGCGAGGCCGACACTGCTGTCCTCGACTTCATCCTCGCCGACACGCGCATCGAGGCGACGAAGGAGGATATCATCGAGACCCTTGCTTCCGTCGGCTTCTCCGATGAGCGTCAGAAGCAGGCCATCGGCAGCCTTTCTGGTGGTTGGAAGATGAAGCTCGCTCTTGCGCGTGCGATGCTCTTCCGTGCTGACATCCTGCTCCTCGATGAGCCGACCAACCACTTGGACGTCGTCAACGTCGCGTGGCTCGAGAACTACCTCACGAGCCTCAAGACCTGCACTTCGATCATCGTCTCGCACGACTCCGGCTTCCTCAACAACGTCATCACCGATGTCCTCCACCTCAACCGCTTCAAGCTCAAGCGTTACCGCGGCAACCTCGAGGCCTTCATGAAGGCCGTCCCTGAGGCCCGCTCCTACTACACGCTCGAGGCCGCAGAGGACTACCAGTTCAAGCTGCCCGACCCCCCTCTGCTCGACGGTGTCAAGACCAAGGAGAAGTCGCTGCTCAAGATGCGCAAGGTCGGCTTCCAGTACCCCTCGCAGCCCGTCCAGCAGCTCTACGACATCACCCTCCAAATCTCGCTCTCCTCCCGTGTCGCCATCCTCGGTCCCAACGGTTCCGGCAAGTCCACGCTCGTCAAGCTCCTCATTGGCGACACAGAGCCGAACAAGGGTGGTGAGATCTGGAAGCACCCCAACTTGGTCATCGGTTACGTTGCTCAGCATGCCTTCCACCACATCGATCAGCACCTCGACAAGACCCCGCTCGAGTACATGCTCTGGCGCTACCAGACGGGTGAGGATCTTGAGGAGATGATGAAGGCGAGCCGTCAGATCACCGAGGAGGAGGAGAAGAAGATGAAGGACGGTTCGACCGTCGTCGTCGAGGGCCAGAAGCGCATCATCGACGAGATCGTCGCTCGTAAGAAGCTCAAGCAGTCTTACGAGTACGAGGTTTCGTTCAAGAACATGTCCTCTTCCGAGAATATCTGGCTCCCTCGTGACGACCTCATCAAGCGTGGTTTCGAGAAGGTTCGTCCGCATCTCCTCATACGCAAATCTCGTTGCTGATCATGCGTCTCGTTTATAGAAAGTCCTTGAGGTTGACACTCGTGAGGCTCAGCGCCTCGGTCTTCTCCGTCCCCTCGTTCGTCGGGAGATTGAGAAGCACTTCGCGGACTTCGGTCTCGAGGCCGAGTTCGTCTCCCACAACTCCATGCGCGGTCTCTCTGGTGGTCAGAAGGTCAAGGTCGTGCTCGGTGCTGCGACGTGGCGCCGCCCTCACATCATCTGCTTGGATGAGCCGACGAACTACCTCGACCGTGAGTCGCTCGCTGCGCTCATCAAGGCGCTCAAGGAGTTCGAGGGTGGTGTGCTCGTCATCACGCACAACCGTGACTTCTCGGAGTCGCTGTGCACTGAGGTCTGGGCCATGCGCGATGGCCACCTCGAGGCTTCCGGCCACAACTGGGTTGAGGGCCAGGGCTCCGGTCCCCGCATCGACAAGAACGCAGGAGAGGACGAGGATCAGTACGATGCGATGGGTAACAAGATCGAGAGCAAGAAGCAGAAGAAGCTGACGTCGTCGGAGGCACGCAAGCTCAAGAAGGAGCGCATGGCGAGGAAGAAGCGCGGCGAGGATGTCACCGACGACGAGCTCTGAGCGTCGTCTTTCCTCCCCTCATCTCCGCTGTTGTTTCCATACGTGTACTCATGCCGCTGTGTTCGCTCTGGACGTGTCTCGACTATACCATCGCTGCTTCTCTTGTAGTCTTGTATCCTAGCACCGTGTCTACGTTACGATTTTTATGATTATCATCACATTCACCGACGACCTATTGTGACTGCGCAGTGTCATCCTGCCTCGACATCGAGGCATGCGGCAGTACGACGGCTTTGCGAGGCGAGCCGCAGGCAGTGTGCCAAGACTGGAAGAAGTTGAACCGCCACTTACGCTCGGCAAAGCGAACACTCGCAAGGTTGAACTTCACCGTGTACTGCTTGCTGCGCGCAGTCGCTGCGCTTTGCTCTTAACGTCTGTCTCGCGTCCTGCCTGTTGTATACTATCTTGCTTTCTGCTGCTCTCGCTCTCTGACGACTTGTTATGCCCTACGTCAACGGATACCCTGAACGCAACTTCGCGGTCTTCGCGCGCGATGCGCAGGACACTCTCACGCCGAACGCGACGCAGCGCACAACGCTCATCGTCGCGGCATGCTACATCGTTGCGATCGCAATATTATGGTGCGTACTCCTCTCCTTGGGACTGTGTTCAACGTTCATGTTTGATTGGCATGCTCCTTCCGCGTGCACAGGCATCTGCCATATGTGTCCGTCATTAGTGAGTCGCTCGCGCATCCGTGGAGGTTACGGCGTATTGATGTGCCTGATGTTTGTTGTGTTCCTCGAACGTGTTCACAGTATATCCATTCAAGTGAGTAGCTTCTGCATCGTTGAGGTTGAATGGCCCGGCAAGGGAGGTGTGGGGGTTGTGTGGGAGGAAGGAATGCGAGAAGACTCAGGCTAACCTCGTCCACGAAGGTTGTTGACAGTAGGATTCCATGAGGTGCGTGCGTCCGGCTGCACTCGGGTTCGTAACGAAGACTGACTGGAGTGATGTCATGCTCGCGTGCGGTCCAGATGAGCCATGCCTTTGCGGGCGGTGAGTGGACTCGTCGCACCGTCGCGCAAGGGCGAAACTGACGAACAACGACAGTGCTCACATGCGCGCACATACACTCCGTCGAGTTAGATCGTACGTCCCGCCCCCTTCTGACACTTCGCCGAAATCGGAACCTGATGCTCAGCATGGCGTGCCCCGTACAGCGGATGAAGGCGGCGCAACTCGTATGTCTGGAGGCATACCCTGGATCACACTCCCAGCAGGATACCTCGGATCTTCGCTGATCGGAGCTGCACTCATTGTGTGCGGCTTCGACACGAATGCGTCCAAGATCGCGTCCCTGGCCTTGGCCGCGTTCTTCCTCTTCACGCTCTGGTGGGCGCGCAAGAGCTGGGTGTGCGTTCATGCCTTACACTACACTCATGCAGAACCTATCTCGCTGATGCACCGACGTCTGCAGGACATGGCTACTGATCTTCCTGATGTCCGGACTCATTGTGCTGTTCTGGTTCGTTGCGGGAGGTGTTGCACTGCGGTACTTCGTGAGTTTGCACCCTACCCACAACCACCTTTCCCGCGCTAATTCGTCGCAGGTTCTCTTCATCGGCGTTATGTCCGACATGTACGTCCTCTGGGACGTCGTTGGTGCGTACATATTTACCCCCGCTACATCTCAGCCTCGTGCTCACTGGTGCACATTCCGGCAGATGACACAATTTCGCGCAAAGTGAACGGCTCCGATGCATCCGCGTTTGCGGAGATCTGTGGTTGCTGTCCCTCACAAGGTACATATGCCTTCTCTACGTACCTGCGGCCGGAGCTCACACCATTCACACAGTCTGGGGAGTCCTCTGGCTTATCGTGGCCTTCGGGTTCTTCGCCGCGAGTATCATCATTGGCATCGTTGCATTCAAGGTATGCCCTTCGCTGCGATTTCGGTCCATTGCACGGGCTAAGCATCATCACGTCCAACAGCAATCTGCCGAGCAACAGAAGGAAGACGCGTCTCACTTCCTGCCTGTCCCTGGCTCCAGCGCCGCGGTACAGATACTTCCTACGACTCTATCGACGACTCTGCTATGCTTTGCGGCAACCAGCGCCGTTTTGCTACGTCGCTGGTAGCACGTTGATTCCCCTCACCTGATGGACTTCATATCTTTGTCGTTTACTGCATGTATGTCTTGCTGTTCTCTATCAATACAATCGCCATGTCCTCTACCCGGTCCCTTACGACTATCGGCTTCACAGTTTGGTCTGCGAGCAATGCCTTTCCCTGATCCCGGGACAACTGTGAAGAGGAAAAGCGACTGTTGGCCAACCTGATGAACTCAAGAAAACCGAGTTTATGTAGCTTGACACGGACAAACGGATGACAGTCGATATACGAAAAAGGCGATCTCAACTTTAAGCAGGCGCTACCAGGGCTCGAACCTGGGTTTTGGGAATATCCTTCTCAGAATCCCAAGTGATAACCACTACACTATAGCGCCGTTAACACCATAAAAGAAGCAAGCTACCATAGCCAAAATTCACTCGTTTTCACTTACCTCTCCTAACAAATCTAAAAAGTCCTCGGGGAGCAAAATGTCTATGAGGGTCCATATACGATAACTCAGGTAGTTGATACTATTTACATAGCGGATGTTAGACCGAGGAACGTGCGTGCAAAGGAGCGCAGCCAGAGCCGGGTGCACCGTCCACTGCACACGCGTCCTACACTAAACAGTCTGTAGTCCGAATACATCGTCGCAGTCATGTTCGAATCATCTCTGGGTACAACAACGGGGGGCCGGGAAGAGGGGCGTCGTCAACTTCAACGAGACAGAGATACACAACGGAACGGGGAAGCATAGGCCAAGAATACGATGTCTGCGAAGGCGCTCCATGAGTGGCGGGAAGGGAAGCGGGCATTGAGGGGATGCATGCACAGTGGTAATAATACGTACCTAGATAGGTAGAGTCGCGGGAGGTGCAAGCATATGCATCTCGTCTAGGCGACGGCGGTGGGCGCGCGCGCCTCAGCACGGTAGTGCCTGCAGGGTTGGTAGGAGCATTCAGAGCGGTGCTCCAGGGATGTTTCAGGCATACAGGAGGGGTTGGTTGCTTACTTGGACGGCTTGAGGTGCTGGTCATCGCGACGCGCAACCCCCGTGGGAGCACGGGCCTCAGCACGCCAGTGCCTACAAGATTGCGCATGAGTGGGCGCTCCGAAGGTGACGTCCAGTGGGCACAGGAGAATCGGACACTCACTTCGACGGCTTGGGGAAGTGCTCGTCGTCACGCTTCTTGGCCTGCGCAGCGCGAGCGTCGTACTGCTTCAACGCCTTCTTGACGAGAGTCGCATCGTTGACAGGGACGGGGTTGGCGGCGGCGAAGAGGGCGAGCGCCAGGAAGGTGACGAAGAAGAGGACGAAGCGGGAGTTCATGATGTTTACTGGTCTAGCGGAACGAGCGGAAACGGCGTGGTGGTCGGTCGGAGAGTACAAGGAGGAACAGATGCCGAAAGCGAAGACGAAAGAGGCGTGGAACGGGTGAGGCGAGGGGCAGGCAAGGAAAAGCGTGCACCGAGCGTGGTTCCCGATGAGTCGAGAGAAACGGAGATGCGACCTTTATATAACCGAGCATCCGAGGGTGTTCGGCAGTGGCTGCAGTGATCCATCCAAGATATTGCAAGCGCACAATGACGCTGTGACGCAGTGCTAAATGCAACAAGCGGATTGCGCGCGATGCGCAGCCTCTGCCGGCGATTTGACGGGACGAAGGGATTTTGCGTGGCTACGGGGACTGGGATGTCGAATCGGTGTGCTACTGGCGCGCGCGTCGGCGACGATGTGGAAGATTTTCTCGCCATCAAAACTCGCAACTCGATGTTTAGAGATAGTGTGGTCCACCGTGATAATGCTGGTGATGGGCCTCAGGGTAAAGATGGTCCTTATCCGCGTCGTCCCACGTCCTGGACTAGGCAGGCCGAGCTGTAAAGGTGTGACGCATCGCCTTTGACACTTACACCAGCGTTCAAGATAATTGCGATATCGGACGGCCAAGAAGCAAGCATCAGGTTGACGTTCGTCGCTGCCGCTGTGGACATACGTCGGAGGCGCATAACTCTCACTTCTGGGGTGCTTCGCCCCTATCTGTGCGGCGTGGATGGACCGCTGGAGTTCCCATGAAGTCTGCTGCAGACCAAACGGTCTTGGACCGATATACGGATAGGCTTCTAAACCAACTTATCGCCCTAACATGAAATGATGAGCGAGCGGCGGCATTTGACGAGCGCACGTACAGCATGGCTTTCCTTCCAACAAGCCCCGACGCCTCCACCAGGTCATCCCCGTGTCTAGAGAACGCCTGGTATCCCTGTTCGTCATCGTTGCGAGCGGTCCATCGAAGTTGGGAAGCATGCGGTCGCTGACGCCGTCAAGTGTTCTCGGTGACTACCTATTCATTTGCTTCCCTGTCTAACGAGCTAGCTTGTGAGGTACGATAAGAATTCATACGGCATGCGATGATTGAGGTGAGACATGGGCAGGCCAGAGTCGGTGCCGGCGGGGTGCTGGTGCAGGAACAAGAGCGCGCCAGCGAACTGATTCAGACGCCAAAAGTGACAAACGCGGTCACAGGCGTCCTCTTCGACGTCGTCCCCGCCCTTCTCACCGACCACCACCATGTCTCGCCCCCAAGATGATAGAAATCAAGAAGCAACAGTATACCTGGTGAGTGTGCTCCTTTCTTACTCGTTATATGCGCCTCAAAGTGGCTGTATGCTGACCGTTTCATAGGGAAACTTGGACGAGCGGTGTACGGATGCGCTCATATGGGAGTTGATGCTGCAGGCAGGGCCAGTCGGTGAGTACCGCCTTTGTCTCGTTTCAGGACGGTCAACTGAACTTTGAGCGCAGTGAATGTGCATTTGCCGAAGGACCGGATATCTATGACACACCAGGGATATGGTTTCTGTGAGTTCTTGACCGAGGAGGATGCAGAATATGCCTGCAAGATTATGAATCAGATCAAATTATGGGGGAAACCCATTAGGGTCAACAAGGTTCGTCTCTTCGCCATCCTTCGGAGCACTGTATGCTGAGATGTCGACTTTCACTCGCTTTCACCATGCGTTCTTTCCGCCATCCTTCGGAACCACCTCATCTGACCGTGTCCCTCGGCTTCTCTAGGCATCGTCTGACAAAAAGCAACTCGATGTGGGCGCAAACTTGTTCATTGGGAATCTTGACGAGAACGTCGATGAACGGCTGCTATACGATACGTTCAGCGCGTTCGGCATGATGGCCACCACCGCCAAGGTACGTCGTATGTCCGCTCTCCTCATGTCCCGCACCGCCCCCGTTCCGTTCCCTCTATTCCCGCTGTGCTAATATGTCTCTTCCTGCTCTGTCACCCCAATCTCTCGCAGATCGCGCGCGACCCGCAGACAGGCAAATCAAAAGGATACGGTTTTGTGTCATACACCGACTTTGAGTCATCTGACGCGGCGATCGAGTCCATGAACGGCCAGTTCCTCATGAACAAGGCCATCACCGTGCAATACGCATTCAAGAAGGACGGAAAAGGCGAGCGTCACGGTACCCCTGCCGAGCGACTTCTTGCAGCCCAAGCCAGAAAGAACAATGCGCTCCCTGTCGCCGCCCGACCACCCCCCGCGCCGATGGGCGCATTCGGTGCTCGTCCTCCCATGCCAGGGTTCCAGGGCCCATATCAAGGTCAATTCGCCGGCGCCCTCGCCGGTGCACCACCGCCTCCCGCAGGATTTACGCCTCAGCAGACGATCGTACCCCAGGGCATTCCACAAGGCATGCCTCCTATGCCACCACCACCCATGCAGGGCATGCCGCCACCGCAGGGCGTGCCCATGGGTATGCCTCCACCTCCACCAGGCGTCCCGGTCTACAACCCTCAGGGTGGATACGTCCCTCCACCTCCCCCGCCTGGGTACATGCCGCAAGGCATGCCAGGCATGATGCCTCCTCCGATGATGCCCCAGGGCGGCATGCCCCCGCCACCACCACAATACATGCCGCAGCAAATGTGAAGCGCGTTGGGCTCGATTCTCTCCACGGCCCGCGGCTCGCTCGCCCATATGTATCTCTCCCTCTCGTACCCTCACCGGCGTTCGGTTTGGCAGGTGGTACGTTGCATGCGGTTCTAGTTCTGGCGGACGTATTACGTTCGTTCCGTGACGTTGTATTGTGTATTCTGACTTCTGTGCGTAACGATGATACTCGCTTCCCGAGCAGACTCAGTCAGACACGAGACCCGGGCCGCTCCACAACACCAGCACGCTGCGCTGCTTCTGCGCATCTAGGCACGTCGCCTGCGCAAAAGAAGACTGCAATATATGCCTGGCCTCGATAAGCTCAGCCTTGCCATCCTCACAACTTCCATCCGGATGCGATCGCAGTCGCTCCACGATGCTGAACTGAACTTGTGAGCACTTTACAAATGCATGCCGTCATGCGAACCTTGTATGTTAAAGACCGGGTGCACAAGTTCGTTCTCCTCCTCTTCGATCGTGCCTCACTTCGTCCGCTCGGTCCTGTCAGCAGGGCCGCAGAGGCAACTCCGACCACACGCACGGTCGATTGCGGCGATTGCGGGGGAGTCGTTGCCATCGTGAGATTGGCCGGCGATAACTCAGAGTTCACTCTCCCTCTCTGCGTGCCCGTGCGGCCAGGATGTACATGTCATGTCGTAAGGTGCTTGGTAGTCCGCACTGGCTGGCGCCGTGTACGTACGGTCGGATACCACAATACGAGCTGTGGTGGGGCTGATAGGCTTTGGTGGAATACAGAGCTGCAGCTCGCGAGCGCTACCCTACCTCGATTCTTGGCCGCGGAGACCGGGTGAGCGGGATTCCAGCACCTGTGCGGTGCGACTGCACGTTGACTATCGAGGATGCGTACATGCATATCAATACATCATACAGATCATAATATGTTCAAGTGGATCCCTGCCGGCAACGGAAGCGCATCGTGGACGAGCGTGGCTTCGCTGCCGCCAGGCTCCTCCACCCTCAATGATCACTCTGGGCGACCAGCATTTCAGCGGCCCCAAGCGACCAGCACGCAGCACCAAGCACCATCGCCAACGCCGCCAATACCAGTCCGCTCCACTCCGGAGCGACGAGGCTATGGTCAAGCTCCAGATATTCGAAAGAGACGGTGGCGACTAAGTATCCCAGCCTGCGCACTGCCGCCCGCCGTCAAGGACGTCAGTGGCGAAGGAGTATAAGTGAAGTGTTCCATGTATAGCGATGTTTTGCAATGGTGCTATGGTTAGTACGTGCGCAGCCCGTCCTGCTGCTGCTGCTGCTGCATCCCCTCTACGTCCTCGTGAGCGTAGCCCCCCGTCCGCCAGTAGGTCCTGTCCTAGTATCCACTGCCACACTGCATCCCTCCTATGTATTCCACTTCCCTCCTATCCGTCCGTCTCATGCGTCTATCTATCTAAAGCACGTCTTCTCGTCCTGAGACCC